GTCTTTGTGAGAGAGAGACATATTTAGGCTCAGTCACCTTCAGCTGGCTGTTGTTGTGATCTCAGAGTCATGGATTGAACTGAACTTTGGGTTAGTTTGTGTTGCCGTCTGTTCTCTTTCACTAAAACATGCAAACGTGTTTACAGAATGCTTCTCACAAAGCACAATGCTGCAGATGAAAAGGCTTAACTTATCAATAAGTGTTTTTCCTTTTAACTGTGATTTGCTGCCGGTAAACAAACAGCACATGCTGGGACACTTCTGGGTTGTATTTGTGTCGGGGTGGGGGTGTAGACAGATATAAAGATAGAGACGAATAATCCCGACTCCCAGTCCCCAGCACTACTGCTGTCTGCCCGCCAGCTCCTCTGGGCTGCAGGGTAGTTAAAGCACACAGTGCAGATTAACATACAATGCTCATCATCCAAAGCATCGTCTCCGTTAAGCTCTCCCCCTCCCCGACTCTGCTGTCACATCCTCTGCGCAGAATACAAAGAGATGGAGAAGGGAGGATAGAGTGGCTCAGGCAACCTCACTGCTGACACAGCGTGGCCTCAGAGAAATAGGTACTACACTACACACAACATTGTAATTCTACATATCCACCCTGTATATGAGGACTCTGCCAGTGATGACTTCAGTCTGGCATGTATCTTCTCCAACAGCCGAGGTATAAATCCCAACTGTCACGCTGTCTTCACTGAACACGCAGAATATTGCATTTTTAAGTAAAGCTCATGGCTGACACTAGTGTGCAAAGTCTCGCTGTTTAAATATGCAAATCCTCTACTACCTTTGTCACGGATCACGTTGTGTGCAGTGGATTTGAAGGGAAGACAAGGCCAATGCTGACAGCTGGCACTGACCTTGTTTTCACTCAGACTGGCCATAGTCAGATTAGAAAGCTGGTTCAACACTAATACTACCAGCCAGGAGTAATGCTAGTATGGTACTGTCAGCACAGTTCAGGCATCATGTGTTCCACTCATTTTGAGCTTGTTATTCACGAGTTGTTTGAGTGGAGCTGGTGTGTTAAACAAAAGGAATAAAAATGGATCCATCTTTTTTGGTGCTAGTTTGCTTTTCACATGTTTTGAACATGTTCACATGTTCAAAACAAAAACAAACAAAAACAATAAGGCCAGAAAACACTGCTGTTCAGGCTGCAATTGGAACACCCACAATTTCTTTTAGTTCAACGTCATCAAAAACTGTTTTTTAGTCCATTAGATCTGGCCCAAATTGAGCCCAAGACGAACGCCTTTTTTGGACATGTATC